GGGGTATGCTACTACTGGAACTCGCTGTGGTCACCTGGTTTGACATGGGGATCTCTGCAGCTTTCCGCTTCTTGCGAACACGTTCGCTCCTCCGTTTTCACTGTCTGGCGTCTAGCCGTCGTCCTTCATATTTTTTGGTTTTTTTTTTCATTTTCGTCTTTTTTTTTTCTCCGATTTTCTCCATTCTGATGGGTCCCCCCTCCGGGCCGCTATCTCCACTCTTTGTATGTAGTCTCCTATCGTGATCTCATGGTTATCTATGCAAGCAGGGAAGCCATGCTAGGGTTGACACGGTCCTTCATGGGGACCGTGTTCAGAGCCAGATCGGCGTAAGTCAGTAATGTTACATCTGAGCCTACTACTCACCAATCACCAATTGGTGACGAGTTTTGAACGTATCCGGAGGCCTGCCAAGGTTTTACCGGGACAGGGGCAGCCGCACTGTGTGTGTGTGTGTGTGTGTGTGTGTGTGTGTGTGTGTGTGTGTGTGTGTGTGTGTGTGTGTGTGTGTGTGTGTGTGTGTGTGTGTGTGTGTGTGTGTGTGTGTGTGTGTGTGTGTGTGTGTGTGTGTGTGTGTGTGTGTGTGTGTGTGTGTGTGTGTGTGTGTGTGTGTGTGTGTGTGTGTGTGCGTGTGTGTGTGTGTGTGTGTGTGTGTGTGTGTGTGTGTGTGTGTGTGTGTGTGTGTGTGTGTGTGTGTCTGTGTGTGTGTGTGTGTCTGTGTGTGTGTGTGTGTGTGTGTGTGTGTGTGTGTGTGTGTGTGTGTGTGTGTGTGTGTGTGTGTGTGTGAAAATCTCTACAAATTTCATTCAGAGAATTTTAATATGGGGTCCATGGGACATACGCAAGTCTTTATTATGCACTATGTATTATTATTGTTGTTCTTACAGAAAATGCTTAACCACATAGCCATTGAGTGGCCATTTAATTCTTACCTAAGTCCATTTAGCCACCCACACCCCCTCCACACCATCAATGTAAGAATGTCTTTTCTTATATGACACTTACGAAAAGTTTGAAATTCCAGCTCCCTCCGCCCCCCTAAATAGGCTCGTATATATTGAATGATTCCTATAACAGAAATCTTGCATTATCAAACAGCATTTAAAGATATTATGTTAAAAAAATTAAGCGAAAAAAAAATGTCCCGATTTTGTTAGTGTACCGTTTTTGTCAGCCCTAAATTCATCAGGGGGCTGACAAAAACGGGGCATTACTGTATACTAAAGTAGTGCTTTACATACACACTTACATTTTTTGCCGAGATTCAGTAAAACAAATACCAAGACTCAGCTAACAAATAAGATTTTTGCTGTGATTTCAGCTAACAAACAGATATTTGGCAGAGATATCAGCAACATTAAATGCCGATGTAAAAGGCTGTTGGAGCTTTTACCGAGCTAGTGTTCATTTATACCAATTTCACTGTCAAAAGATGTTATTTAGAACGCTGCTCATCTTACCAGATATGGCCATCTTACCCCGCTTTCCCCTAACTTTAAACTCAGGTGCATGCATAGGTATGTACTAAAAAAACAAACGACTAAACCAATTAAAATTTTAGTAATCACTCAAATTCGTAAAAACGTAGGTTACACATATAGACTGAGTAAAATTTACCTCAATTTTCCAATGCAAAACTTTTAGAATATGAGGAAAATCGAGAGAGGTTTCTTTGAGTCTATTTGTGTACTCCTAGGCAGAGTAAAACTTTCATCGATTTTCCTCATATTCGAGCAGATTTTACTCAGTTGCGATTTTTAGTGAAAACCCACTCAATTTTGTGTCGATGTAGATTCATAGAATTTTCATTTATCAATCTGCATTTAATACCTTTTAAAACATCTTACAAAATAAGTGAAAGAATACGACCGCTTTTAAAGTATGATCCATTTATAATTGGAACAATAACAAGTGCATGTGTTTTGGGTTTAGATTAACAAATTTATGAAAAGTTATGTTATGATTATATGTTTATCCTCGGACTTTTCCAAACCCTGGCTAATGAATCAGCGTACACCTTCGCCGTAGTTCTAATAATCCTAATCTACCATGTTTTATCTGACTACTGTGTTAGGAATATATGGGAAGTGTACCAGTTATTCTACTAGTGGTCCTCTAATTGACCATAATGTTCATCATATTAAAAATGTTCATCATATTAAAAATTTCATTCACAGGATCTTACACGCAGGCAAAAGAACGTAAGAATTCAATAAGAAATACTTGAAAAGTAATGATAACAAAAAAAAATAAATCAAAGCAGACTGGATCCGAACCATGGACGCTGAGCGTCAACGCTTGGGAAAATGAAATGGTTAAAGGCGTATAAGATCTACCTCATGTTACCCGAAAATCATTCATAAGTCACGCTTATGAAATTAATATGTGTTTTTCATAAGTCGAGTCTTATGAAATTAAGAATTTTTATTGGCCTCAGTGCATGGAAGCCGATTTTTTATCACATTCATTTTCCCATATTCCTACATATTGAAGGCGTTCAGTCTGCTTGTTAAAACCCAACTGTCTAATGGCAAATATACTGCATTAAAATATAGTTCCCTGATGTAATTAATGTGTTGTAATTAAATTATATTTTTCATGCGTGAAAATTGCATCAAATGCATGTTGGTTGCCTTTTCTGTCGTTAGGTGGTGTGTCGAACATGAAGCTTCTGTTTCACGTGATGTATGGAAAATCGAAGAATGAACAATATTGTTAATATAGTTTTGCTAATGGTGTCGGTGTCGATGTTGACAACGACCACTGCATTCGCTCATTCACACTCGCTACACACCACCAAAACAATAATGGTTTATGAGCGTATTCAAGAGATGCTATTCATTTATACTAAACTAAACAATAGAGTTGATTTGAGCACTTCCTCAATTAGGGTGCAGCAATCTATCACTATCACAAACATTTAATTTGTTAATGTATTTTCTTCTACTTTGATGATATTTGCTTGTGGTCTAATGTAATATAATCAAATCTAATACAAATGCAGCCAGTACGAGAAAGCATCCTTTAAAAAAAGGTTAGGTCAGATTACGTCTAATCATTTTTCTTGTCAACATTAAGATCTGCAGCATATCTGGGATATGGCGCAAATGCCAAAATGTCCAGGTCAAAATGTTTTGCATTTACCGCAAAGATGATTCTGTGATATGAATCGAGTTTGAATAATATACTCAACCGACGCATTTCTTGAATCTACAGGGGTAGAACGAAGCGTCAACATGGCGTACAAACGCCCCAGGAGCCGGCACCGGTGGTGTAGTGGTAAGCGTGACTGCTTTCTAACACCCCAATGGGTCTGGGTTCAATCCCAGCCGAGGTCGGTGGGATTTTTCTGAGGCATAAAAATCTCTGGTCACGTCTTCCTTCGGAAGGGAAGTAAAGCCGTTGGTCCCGGCCCATGTGTGTTGTTGAATGGGTGCGATATCCTACGCAGGTGTGGAAGCTGCCTTCCTGCACATTCGATTGCCGTCAATGGATGGCAATCGATGTCCGTCGGTGATTGGCACTAGATTGCGGAACAGAGACCGACGTTAAAATAAAGAAAAACGTCCCAGGCTATGTAAAAATCAAATTAGCATGTAATAATATATGAATGGTAAAATAAAATACTGAATATATCATAATGGAAGGATCTCCCTCTATGCCTCCAGGTTTTTTCCTTATCATCCAGGTAACTTGCACGTCTCCTTGATCTTAAGAAGAATCATGTTCTCTTGTTGGCCGTTGATCCGCTTGACTCACTCCATGATTATCTTCAGTAGCCGTTTAGCTGCTGTCTGTTTTCCTGCGCCAGACGCTTCGTCTTCATTTCATTTCGCAGTTCCCAACGTACGCCGTACACGAATCTTCCATCTCTTCTGTTTTCTTCTTACCGCGTTTGCCAATCAACACCTCTTCTCATTTGAACCATTAAAGAAAAAACTCTTCGTGGCTTCCAAAACGAACTTGGAATTTGTAATCGTCATAGATCACACTGGAAAATTTTCGAACCATCCACTAGCAGAGCATACTTTCTTGATTATATTTGCTTGTCAAGGAATACTCAGGATTGAACTCGGGATTAAAGCAGCTTGTTTATATTTTTATGTTGCTTCATGATTGAACAATCCAGTCAATATCATTAAAGGACACTACGGGAGGAAACATTAAATATAAAACATGTTGTACTTGTTGGTGTCACTACACCCCAAAAATTAAAACTACATGAGATTGCTATGCATTAAATATGCTACGCTCCAAGGGCAGAGGCAGTTCCACACAGATTCGCAAATCGTTTCGGATCGACCTTAACTCACGCGTATGATTGAAAAACTGTGAACAGCAAAGTTTAAGGAAATTAATTGGGCTTTTTGTTAAAAATACTTTCAAGATTGAACACTCACGAATAACATCTCAAAAGAGCGAAAATTTCTTAAAATATGCGATAAGTGAATTTTAATCTACGAGTATCTCGAAAATAACAACTTTGGGTCAAGTGTTAGTCGTGTACAAAACTAGGGAACCAAATATGTAAAATGGCATGTTGGACAATAACAAACAACTGTGCAAAGTTTCAACATAATCGTAGAAGGTCGATCAAAAAATTTAAAAAAAAATCGTCATTTGAAATGGAACTGCTGGGAAGTTTAAAAATCTGTGACAAGCAATGTGTATACGGTATTGACAAAACGGAGGGAGCTTGAAGTACTTAATGGATGCTCACTAAGCGAAAGATTTTTGACTGTTGTTATGTTTTCTAATTGATGAAATTATACTTTAATTTGACATATGTAAAATTTTAAAATAACCCTGTTACTTATTCAAGCGTTCTTTTATCTGAGACACAATGCATTCATTTTAACAACCTACAGATGAAAAACATACGATCAACAACAGAGGGATCAACATTTTATTTTATTTTTAATGTGTAAATTTTAAGCGAGGGAAAGCCTTAGTAGACATGTTTATAACATTTCCACCATTTGTTTTTTTTTTAATTTCAGGTGTTCAATCAATCAACCGTAAACAAAATATATGCCCTTGGTCCACATTATCTAGGGTCGCTGCAAGCCCCACATGCTGAGAAAATATTGGATGACTCTGTTAGTCCTATCGTGCCCGAAGAACGTGTTATATTTGGAATGAATGCACGAGCTGTCTCGAATTTAACGTTATCTAAAATCCGAAAAGTTTATAGCAGAGTCGATTGCAAAGCAATTGCCAAACAGCTAGGAATGAACTCACACGACAATGCTACTCCGATAAAAATATTACACAATTCTGCAGGTCATCTTGCTGGTCCCGCTCGTACACTTGGAGGAGTGATGATTGGCTATTTAGGTATACGATGCTTCAGCCCAAACCCAGTGTCAGCCATTATATACACCGTCGGCGGATGTAGTGTACTGCTAGGCATCATTGCCATGTCGCAAAATGTGGAAAGTCTCTACGCTGGGGTGAAGGCTCTTACTTGCGTGATAAAATCAAATAAATCGACTCAAAATGAAATGGATCGTAAAAGATACTATCAAACATTGGGAATGATATTCAAGAAAAAGAAGCATTTGTTAAACTCTCATATTCTGCACCTTACGTTTAACCTAGTTGGTACTGTAAACAGTGGCCATGAAACATCAGCTATTCCAAACGTCATGTCTTTCCAGGTAGGTTAGGTTTTGAGATGCAAGAAAATCTTAACACATACATTTGTTTCATTACAGGACTTATTATGTGACTTTGAAATCTGGCTTGGAGCTCCCAGTGACATTTTAAAATCGCTTTTGGAGCATCTACTGGAGCTTATATCAGAGTCCAGTGAAAAGCGAACGAATATTCGTATCATGCGAGATATGCAGGTTTGGCATAGTGATACCTTTAGATCCGACTATATCTTGAGAGCTGAAATTTCCAACTTGATCCTCGCTCGTACAACTCTCATTTAGGCGTATTCTGCGGGGCGTGTGTGGTGAGGTGACTTGTGTCTTCACAATTGTCACTTCACTGCCACCTCACCTCACACGCCGCGCAGAGTTGGCCTAATTTTGTTACAAAATGCGTGTTTGTTGAAATGAAGCAACATTTTATTTTTCGTATTTTTCTATTGGTGAAGTACCGGAAATCATTGCTAGACTTTATAGATCTCTGAATGCGTAAGTGTGATTAATGTGCAGTAAAACCATGTACACACTTAGTTTTGTCTGCCGAGCTCGGCTGTGCAAATTTCGACGAAAATAAGTTTCACTGAGATCTCAGCAAAAGTGACATTTGATTACCCTGAGTGTCGGATAATTTTGATCTCAGTAAAACTTTTTTCCCTAGATTTGCATAGCCGAACTCGGTACAAAAATAAACTAAATGTGTATGTATTAACGGTTTATTGCACTTATGCTTAGAACGACTCACATTAACATTCAGATATCTCTATAGATGGTTCATCGTAAAAAAAATAATAAAAAAAAAACGCATTCAATGAACCTTATAGAGATTTTCTTCTATCGTACGCTTTACGATTTCTTCAACTGCGCTTAAGCCTTAAAATATAAATAGCGGATTTTTAGCGATGAGCTAAATCTTAGATCTATAGGCCAACATTAGAGCCATTTCCCCTATATGCTTGAAATATTAATAATTTTAAAACCTTCGACCTGTACTGCGAGATGTTGTTTCAGTTTTATACCATCAACATATCATGCACATATGGTGGCGTTGGTGGTAGCGTTGTCTTAAAGTGGAAGTTCTGCTCTATGGTATACCACGTTTGATTTTATTAGTAGGCTACAACAAGCCTACGGCTAAAAATTACGATAATAATAAAAGAGATTTTCTCAGTACTGCGCTCTCAATTTTATATTATAGTCTATCCTTTTACTTTCAGTGCATTTCTAAACTATTACACATTGTTGAAGATGTGTATGACCACAATACACGAGAAGTTCTGTTTTGCTTATTAGAAATACTACTGGGGCCTCAACCACGTATATCTGATTTACTACTTTTTGGACAAAGTTTGGTTTATCATATTCCTCAGGTTGGTACTTGTTTTTTCCGCGGCAATTTCTTGTCCATAAAATATTTATGGCGAGAGATCTTATAGTTTGTATATTCTATCAATTTGTAGCCGGAAGATGAAAACGATAAAACCCTAAACCTAGCAGATTACACCACTGATGGCAACACATCTATGCATGATCCTGACTTGTATAAAAACAAAACAATAGTACGGAAAATTGTTTTGAGAAACAAAGGGCTATGTATGCTGCATAGTATGTTATTCACATCAAAAAATACTGTCAATGCTGTTTTATCTGAAGAAATTTCCAAGGTTCTTGGTTTGGACTGGCTCATGATGTTTATGCAACCACATCTCAATTGTACGACTGTTATATGGGCCATGAGAATACTGGTTGTTCTATGTGCTAACGAAATGATCATTGGACGATTTCGTGAAGGTAGTATGAATAGCGGATATATGAAAAACACCGAAGTTGTTTCGCAAAACAAGGATATGCTGCTTTTGTCGACGACGCAAAGCGTAACTGCATCAACTAATTTAAAGATGCCTCAAGATTTAGTTACATCAACGTTGGTTAAGACTAGTGATGAATCAAAATCTCAGTTCACGAATTGCTCCGGTTTTACATATCTGGAATGGTTACTGCAGCATCATATTAGCATACCCGAAATATACTTTTTGCTTACGGCAATCATTATGGGCCAACCTGTGAAGCTCTTAGGCACTGAGCATATAAATCTAGATCTAGATCGCGTCTGGACCTTTTTATGGGGTGCACCAGTATCAGGAATGCTTAGTGGTAAGTATTGTTGTCCACAATCAAGGACATTAACTCTACTATTTGGTATTGCGAATAGACCTTTCCCGTGAAGACCTTTCTATAAATATGTATTAAAAGCAGGTGAACTTTTGATAGATAAAACATAACTTGCACATTTATTTATTGATTTATTAAGGTGAACCAGCCCTTGGCTGAATATCTTATACATAAAAGAAAAAAAAAGATTAATAAATTAAATAATTATTTAATATATATATATATATATATACAGCAATTCCATAGAAAAAAGTTATAGTGGGTCTCAGAATTTCATGAAAATTGGTATAGTTCTTCCTTATCAAAAAATATTAGACTCGTATTTTTTTATTGCGCCATTAGGGTGACCATTTCCGTGTTAGGGTGGTCCAAAAAATCATTTTTTTTCAAAAATGTCTTTTTTCAAAAATTTATAACTTCTGAACCTCTTGACCGATTTTTACGATTGACCCTTCAAATGAAAGATGTTTTAATGTAGTTTTGAGAAAAATTATGAAACACTCAGAGATATTTGATTTTGTAGGAAAAAAATATGTTACAAATGCTTTTTCTTGATTTTCACTGCGAGGGTCTTCAACAACTTCTTATTTTAGTATTTTTAATTGAAAGATCATTTAATTTTACATAACATATCAAAAAATTAGCGATGTCGGAGAAGCAGTTTTGGAGATAAAATTTTTTTTTAAATAAAAAATTATTGTTCCGCAATATATGCACCACACGTGCATGGAAACGATGAAGACGCAAGGTAGTTCACAAACGCGTCTCCATCGAGTCACAGCAGCTGTAACTAATGAAATCTATGAGTAACTTACAAGCTGGATGCAACATTCAGTTCAGCCTGGAGGCTGTCCATAAACCACGTAGACCAATTTTTAAACATTGCAGATCCTACCTCCCCCCTCGTATACTTTACTAAAATTTTAAAATATTTTTACCGAGCGTATACTGTGGCTGGACTCCCCTCCCCCATTGAAGTCTTCGTGGCTTTAAAACAGGCCCCAGTTTGACATTATTAATTTTGGTATCAAAATTCTGGGAGAAGTACTTAAATGCTACAAATAATGACGAGGTCGAAGAAAAATAAGCAAAACATGAAGCATTTATTTTCTTTAATTACAATTTCACACATTTTTCTTCCGTTGAAAATGAATACCGTTTGACAATAATATACTTTTCGTTTTGAGGCTTAAAACTATGGAATGACTGAGTCCCCGAAATTTGGTTCACATGTATAAAACGGTTTTTCAATTTTCTTTCCATTTTATTGTAATCGGATTCCGAAAAAAAACTGATAGTGTATTTTTGAATTTGGCTTAGAAATAGCCCATGAGTAAAGTTCTTGGGCCGTTGTTATATGGTGGCCTTGCAAACTCGCTTTCGCAGCGTTTCGTTTTAATACTCCTCCCAAAGCATCACAAGGGCCCTTTCCATGACAAGTTGCGAAAAAATTCCACTCGGCAGCAATGCCAAAATCTTTTTGCATGTTGCATAAATTAAAAGCGGTCATCTTATTTTTATATTGGCTTCCTGATCCATCTGAGAAAAAGTAAATCTGTTGTAAGCTTGGCAATTTACATTTTATGAACGCTAGACAATGCGTAAGAAATAAACGAACTGCGACATGATTATGTTTAGTGAAATCAGCAATTGCAATAAAACTAGTAAATTTCAAATCGTTAGATTCTTCGTCTTTAAAATAAATAGCACAAGGGTGAATAGTACATTGGGCGTTCGCCCAATGAAAGCCTTGAACTGCATCCTGCACAACGAAAGAATAATTCTCCGAAAAATCACAGATTATGATGCATTCTGTAGCTTTCAAATTGCTTTTGATGTGTTTCATATAATTTGCCTGTTGCTCAGCTATAAAGTTATGCGGCAATAAATTGAATAATTTTTCTAAAAAAGTATCAATAAATTCCTGTGTGTCCATTTCAACTAAGTCCATAATGCATCTCTCTACTTGACGCCATTGTTTGAATTGTATTGATTCAACATGTCCGTTACTAAGAATAGTCATTAGTTCTGTGGCCAAAATTTGCGTTCCTGAACAATTTTTGCAACACTGCAGCCAGCATTGTTCACTTGGATTTTAACAAATTATTTTTTTAAACAAATTGTGATAGGAATCAACACCATCTGGGAGTGATTGTCTGCTTTGTAGTGTTTTAAAAATAAGTTTACCGTTCTGATGATATATACAAACGCATACGGTATGCGTGCCACTTGTCCCTGCCAAAATGCAGTGTTTCGGACGGTTACTGGCGAACATGGAAAATCCTATTTTAATATCAGGATATGTATTTGTAAAGATGGAGTACGCCTCCTGCAAGTTACACAAAACTAATCTTCTTTGTATGTAGATTTCGCCTTCATCATTTTTAGATATTAAATAATCTCTTTTCCCCGGACAAACACGACTTATATCGTCACTATTGTAAAAATCACGAACAAGCATTATCGTTGGTTCTCCTAATGAAGCTCTGCTTAACCTCTTTACAGGCACCGACATTATTCCTTTCTCTTGCTGCAGTGCTTTTGCTTGGTTGGCCTTATGTTGGGAAACATTGAACTCCTTCATAATTCTATATGTAGACCAACTTTTGGGAAGTGTGGTTTAAATCCTGTATCGCTCATTGCTGTCTCTTGTTTCTTTATATTTATCCTTAAGTTGTATAAGGAATTCATTTTCGTCCGACAAAGGTGCGTTGTAGGTGGTAACGATCGATTCAGAACTGGTTGTTTCCACTGATTCTGAAAATAAATATAAAAAATGATTGATTATTAGAAAAAAAACATACAAATGATTTATTTTTTATTATTTACCTTGGCAGGGAAAAGGAACCATTCTGGACGGTCCCGCAACGGAAATTGATTCAATGCTGGTTGCTTCGATGGACTCTGAAAAATGATTGCAAAAAAGAAGAGTTTAAGTTAGTAGTTAGAAGAAAAGAATTGAAATTTAAAGAAGAATCACATGAATTTTCAAATAACGTACCTGCAGCAGCGATTCTGGATGGTCCTGCAACGGCTTCTTCGGTCACGGCATCATTGGGTTCATATAGTTTGTGGTAGCATCGTTGACAAATGAAGGAGCTACTCTCATCTATTTTAATCTTTTTTTCCACTGCATAATCGTACAATTTATTGGTGATTTTTCTGGCACATGAACTCAACATCCAAACATCACACATTGAACACTTACGTTTCATTTTTAGATATTCTTCAATTCAACTGTTCTAGTAGGAAACTTTGATTTCTAACTGATCATTTCTTTCATAACATTCGTTGTTTTATGTGAAGCATTATATCGTACCTACGAGTGAGTGATATACCTACGAGTCTAAGCTGGTCTACGTGGTTTATGGACGGCCCGCAGGTTGAACTGAATGTTGCAACCAGCTTGTAAGTTACTCATAGATTTCATTAGCCACAGCTGCTGTGACTCGATGGAGACGCATTGTGAACTACCTTGCGTCTTCATCGTTTCCATGCACGTGTGGTGCATATATTGCGGTACAATATTTTTTTATTTTAAAAAAATTGTATCTCCAAAACTGCTTCTCCGACATCGCTAATTTTTTGATATGTTATGTAAAATTAAATGATCTTTCAATTAAAAATACTAAAATAAGAAGTTGTTGAAGACCCTCGCAGTGAAAATCAAGAAAAAGCATTTGTAACATATTTTTTTCCTACAAAATCAAATATCTCTGAGTGTTTCATAATTTTTCTCAAAATTACATTAAAACATCTTTCATTTGAAGGGTCAATCGTAAAAATCGGTATAGAGGTTCAGAAGTTATAAATTTTTGAAAAAAGACATTTTTGAAAAAAAAATGATTTTTTGGACCACCCTAACATGGAAATGGTCACCCTAATGGCGCAATAAAAAAATACGAGTCTAATATTTTTTGATAAGGAAGAACTATACCAATTTTCATGAAATTCTGAGACCCACTATAACTTTTTTCTATGGAATTGCTGTATATATATATATATATATATATATATATATATATATATAAAATAATTAATTAATTTATTAATCTTTTTGTTTATATATATATATTCATATGTTAATTAATTTATTTGTTTGTTTATTGATTTATTAATTTATATATTTAGTTGCGGCTTAGGGTTTCTCCCAGAATAATGGTGGAAAATTAAAACTCTCGTAAAATAAAGTTGATTTGCATACATGAAACTTGAAAATAGCCCGCAATTGACGGAAAATAATTCATTTTCCTTAAGCTTTTGACTCCTTCGCACCTATAGTTGCGTTAATGTTCCTATAATAGTGGAATCCATTAGACACCAATGCGTTCCAGTAATATAGGAATCAAAGTTTGCAACTACAATACAATGTATACAGGGCTGAAAGTGGGCATGTGATGTAATAGTAGTGACTTGAGTGACTAAAATTACGAAAATAGTGACCAAATAGTGACGTTTAAACAATTAAAAAGTGACCACGGTCCAATACTAACCCCCACTTCCTCACTCTGCAGATCACGAATTTGTTATTAGATCGCGAAATTGAGGCACAATTTACAATTTTTGGACAGCAGTTTTAGAAGATCTAGGATATATGTGAAGCGATGCAACATGAACATAACAACATGAAGAACTGCAGTCTAGAATTAAATGTATATAGATCTAAGTTAGCCATGAGTATATTAATAAAATATCCTTCTCTTCATTGTAACCTCCCAAGAATAGAATCTTCTGTAACACCTCAAACATAGAAAAAGAATCATAACTCTGGGATCTAGGCAACTTTTCTAGATCACAGTTTAAGAAAAAATCTCATTATGGCCCAGATGGAGTGATCACGGACATAAAACAAAACTGAATGCGTCTGGGACTTAAATCTCAATCGTGAAAAATTAGAGATTTAGGAATACATTTTAGAGTCAGCCGGCGCCGGTGATGTAGTGGTAAGCGTGACTGCTTTCTAACACCCCGATGGGTCTGGG